TGCTGCTACAGTTTTGAGAGGACTTATGTTTTTATTTTCTTGGGTACATTTCAGAAGTAGAAGTGTTGTATTGTAAATTAACTGATTAATTATTTTAAAAATTTCCAGATTGATTTTTAAACTTTTTGCACCATTTCAGACTTTTATGAACAGTGTATGTAGGTTCTGATTTTTCCGCAATCTCACTGACACTTGTTATTTGTGACTTTATAGTCATAATCATCCTAGTGGATATGAAGCATTATCTTAGTTTGATTTTATTATTAGTCATTAGGGAAATATAATGACTAATAATATTGAACAGTTTATTGACCATTTATGTATCTGGCTTGGACAACTCCCTATTCAGATCATTTGCTCATATTTAATTGGATTGCTTTCTTATTTGTGAACTGTAAATGCTCTTTATGTACTCTAGATATCAGTCCCTTATCAGATGTGATTTAGAAATATTTTCTCTGATTTTATGGGTTCTCTTCTCACATCCTTGGTAATGTTTTTAAGACAGAACTTTTAAAAATTAATGAAATATTTTTATCTGTTTTTCCTTTTGTTGCTTATGTTTATATCTAAGAATATTTATTTAGCTTATTGTAGAACTGGAGATCAAATCCAAGGTTTTTGCACTGAAATACATCCCCAATCTTTTTAAGAATAATTTTATTGAGACACCATTTCACTAAGCTGCTAAATTGCTACAATTGGTCTGTGCTCAAACTCAAATCCTGTGTAGGCCTCCTCAGAAGGATGGTAATACAAGTCTGTGCCACCATGCCATGCTTTCTTGGATTTCTTTATCAATCAAACCTTTGCCTTGTAAGAGTTTTAGCTTGAAGATTTACATCCTTTGTTTTCAGTCATATTTGGACGTATTCTACCATGGAACAGCATTTGATTTAAAGGATCGCATCCACCTCTCTGTGGCAGTATTCAGACCTGGCTTGAAAGCACAGTCATTTTAGTTTACTTTGTTTCTAAGTTAGTGGTACATTTACTGAATAAAGGTACTTCACTAAATTCATAAACATATTAATAAAATTATGAAAAGAAACCAACCAATGCAATGCAGATTTTTATGTAGCTTTTGTAACAGAAATGAAGAGAAATTATCCTTGGACATTTTTATGTGGTTAGACTTAGACATTTTCTATAAACAAATTTAACCATTAATTAGACAAGTCAAAATAGTTAAATCACATTTTTCTACCTCACATAAAATTAACACAAATCTTTTAAGTATACATCAATGACTAAACCTTAATTTTAAAAATGAGCACGTAATTATGTTTTCTAAAGAACCAAAGTTGTTTCACAAATTTAATCATGGGTTTTTTTCCTTTCCTTTTAATTTTTTTTTCGGTACCAGGGATCAAACTCACCACCTTGCACTTGGCAGGCAGGAGCTGTGCCGCTGAGCTAAATCCCCAGACCCCTGATCTCAGTTTTAATAACTTTCGTCTCTGATGAGGAACCAGAAATAAGTCTGCATCCTGATTTAGTGAATTGTAAATAAAAAGCTAAAATGACAAATTGAGCTGTTCACCTCCATGATTTTCTTAGAATTGACATACTTGCTTGTCAGGAAGAAGTATTTAGAATATAAGATATGGAAAAGTGAAAAAAATTAACTCAAGTGTTTAGGTATGGTGAGAAATTGCCTTTTTTCTTTGAATATGAAGTAAATATTGGGCATGCTTTATCAGGGGAGGAGGCTTCTGGGCTGGAAAGAGGTATTCCCACATGATGGGACAGCCGTTTCATTAACACTCCTGCCCTGTCTCCACCTTCTAAGACATGCCTTTTTGCAGAAAGGAACAGACAGCATTGCTAAGTTTTGAGTTTGGGCTACAGAGCTTATGATGTTCAGCTAAGCTCTTTCTTCATTCTGTATTTGAACTTGTTTGACTGTGCGACCATTCACTGTACCCCATATGCTTTCAGATTTGCATTTACCCTTAGATTCCTCAGTAAAATCTATGATTTAAAGGTTGAGTGTACCTAATTCTGGAGGTTAGTACTACATGTTACACGTGGCCCACATCCATATCATGCCCAGCAACAGAGTATCAATAATAAAGGTATTTTTAATACTGAATTATTTGGGGACCAATTACTGATTTGTTTCTGAAATTGTACAGTGAACAAATAGAGTTGTGATATGTTGTTCTAGAATAATTGCAACAATACTGAATATCACCATATAATTTAAGAGATTCTAGAAATTATTCTACATTTCTCAGGAGATGAGATAGCACAGCTTTTTCTTAATAGTCAGTATTCTATTTAGTGTCAAAATCATGAAGATAAAACTATTTACATCCCAGGAACATGATATAAAAATAAGTATCAAGAAGGAAAACCCATAATACAGGGTAAGATAATCTTACTTTTAAATTATTGCACCTAATTAGTCATCTTAGAAATCCATCTCAAGTTATACATATGTATATGCAATTTACATGAACATATGTATGTACACTAAGGAATAACATCTCAGATGAAATGAGTTTGCCTGCATTCTACACAAATCCTACCTAAACTCACCTACTATAAATGGCTTTTATGTGTTTTAATCTCATGTTTTTCTTTTAAATAGATGTGTCTTTCTATGCATTAAATATGACAACTTTTGAAGAACACATCATAACTGTTATTTGTGTCCAGAAGTTTATGCAGATATTCTTTAATTTCATTTTACTACCGATGTATTTACAATAAGTTTATTAGAACTTATCTTCTATGTCAGTAATTTTTTCACATTACTTTTTCTCTTTACTGTCCATTTTGTATTCAAATAGATGTCTTATATTTCCCATCTTGTACTGGAAATTAGATAGCATATTCCTTAGCTTACAAAGCACACGTGTAGCATGTGTCCCAGTTAAGTGGCTAAATACAAAGAAAGGGAAAAAATAAAGTGTGAAAAAATGATTGCAGGTCACCAAGATAACCATTGACTAGACTTTGTCAAACAAAGTGCTCATACTGGATTTCTTACATCAGCATTTTATTAACTAAATTATAAAAAATGCTCTAAGGATAGATTCCAAGCAATGAGGATATAGATATGACTTGACATTTACCAAAGAGAGAATTTAAATACAAAGAGCACATCTTCAAAATCGTACAAAGGCCAACCATAAAGCATAAACTGAATATGGAGACAGTGGGGGAAATTTTGTCAATAGCAAAAGATAGATGGTGTGAAAAACTAAAACAATTTTCAGGATAGGGGTCTCTGTAAGATTTTCTTGGTTCTTGGTTTCCTGTAGCTGGGATATTGCAAACATTCCAGGTGACATTAGATATATCTTCCTGCATTGCTAAGAGTCAGATGCCAGACTAACCAAGGTAAGCCACCATTCCTGACTATTCCTCAGCGTTTCTCAAGTCCAGTTCTAACATTGTAGTAAGATTTTCCCTATTTTAAATTTCTTTGTTCTTGCTTTATTTTCTTGTTTGGTATTATTTCACTCCCATTTTGCTTTCTAGACATTTGGAGTAACATTTTTTTCCATAAGGTACACTAAATGTCTCATAAAAATGTTGGCATACATTCTACCTTTTTTTCATTTTCTTTCTATTCTCATTGTCCAATTACAGAATTTCTTAAGTGTTGGTTACATTAGAAATATACTCCTGAGAAGAACAGGAATATCGTCCTTCTTTTGAAATCAGTGATTTTCTATCCCATTGCCACCTGCAATATTTTTCACTTGAATACACATTAAAACTGGAATGTGGGGGTGGAAATGAAGTGGATGGAAATTATTTTCTGAACACATTTATTATGCCAACAATTCAATATAATGCATCTTTGATGGTGTGTAATTAGGTATTAAAATGTCTCATAACTAGAAATGGTCTCGGTCAGTGGGAATTACTGCAGATAATTTCACGTAACCTGGGAATAATTTGCCTAGATAAAAGGCTTAGACCAATATATAAAACATTCAGTTTAGAGAAAAATTAATTCCTTATTCACATTAATCCTCTGCCTAACTGTAAAAGAAAATGCAAATTCACATAAAATCTGAGGAGAAAATGAATAATTTTATTACATTTTCAAAGAAATATATAAAGACATAATATGACAATAAGAAAATTGTCCCCCAAACTATACCGATTTTTTTCCCTAAAGGGCTAAATATTTTTACCCAAAGTTTAATTTTATTAATATTATGTTAATGATTTAATTTAGATTCCTAGCTTATTTTCATTAGTTTCCATGATTTTATTTTGTATATGGAGACTGAAGTGTGTGGATGAGCAAACATACTAGTAAAAGTGAGTATATTTATCAGGTATGCATGGCAAAATAATTTCTGAATTCTAATCACATCCCAAGTTCTTGGCATCTTTTTGGGCTTAAGATATCAGGAAAACCACACATATTAGAACAAAAGTACAGTGAGCAATTTAAAGATAGAGATGGGGAGAAGGAAGATAGATTTGAGGTATTTTTATTGTTTCCACTTACAGTATAATATTTGCTATGATTTAATAAAAACTGAAATCACTGTCAGTTGACAAACCACAAATGGTTCATAAAGTGATAGGAAATTGAACAAGCTATCATTCCTGCTGGATTATGGATACATTCGTTGTTAACACGGTTTACGGGAGAGAAATGACAATGGCAATAAACATGTCTGGTGAGAGAATGAAGTCCACAGAAGGCAGATATGAGACAGCTCTGACAGCACTGTTAACCAGAGGAAAATATTTGACTCAAATTGCATGATCGGAGGTAAAAAGTAGGGACACTTTCTTAAAGTATTTCATTTGAAATGGAGATAATATTAATGAAAATGTGTGTTCAACTTTAGAGAACCGGCAGTATTTAAGATTACGAAATAAATTTTAATCAAAATTATTAGAGTAAAAGTTTTTGGTTGAACATTTCACAGTAATACATACCAAAAACAATAAAACAAAACCATCAAAGATACAAATGAATCAAATAACCCAACCTGCACACACGACGTGCTGATACTTACTTAGCATGGCGGATATCTGGCAGGGACCTCTCTAGAGCAATATTATTGCTGACGAAAATATTGAAACCATTCTCTCTGTAAGCTGAGTCATCGTTGTCCTCTTCAGTGAGAGGGTAAGGTTTTCCATGCTCACCTTTCCCTAACAGGAAAAAAACAAAATCAAATTTTCATCTAAGGGGAAAAAATGTCATATTCTAGAGGAGAAATTCAGACTTGGATTCATTTCTTTTAAGACAACTATTGCTTTGAGGCACAGAAGAGACTAGAAAAAGATGTGCTATTATTTAATTTTAATTGTTGTAGTGTGGGAAAATGGACTATACTTATAATAAAAAACAAACAAAACAGAAGCATAAAGTACAACTTCACCTTCCAGAGTGAACCACTGTAAAGATTTCAGTGCAGGTTTCTTAACAGTTAGTTGTACCAGATTCTAACACATATATTGCTTTATTGTTTCTTTTCTTCCAAAATAATTACTGATCCTTTACTTCCAGTGGGTGATGTTATTTACTTAGACTCTAATATATACCACTGCACTGAAGATATGCTTTTATATTACTTCTAGGCTTTCCTAATTTCTCCATTACAAATATGTTGAAATGGGTATGTTTGTTCACATTTTCCCAGTTACAAGTTTTTGGAAGGAGAATCACACATTCCTATAACTAGAATTGCTAGAATACCTTTATAGTAAGCATATTTTTCACATCCTCAGAGATATTGGATATTTTCATATCTATTATTCAGATTTTTATTAGCCTTACATATTTCTGATGTCATAAAGTGATTGTTCAAGAATTTTTAAACAAATAATTTGTAGAACTTTTTGTATATTATGTTTATTAAATCTTTGTTAGTTACACATTCTGCAAATATTTTCTGAATTTATTCACTTAAATTGAAGCTAAATTTTTCTATTGGGATGATATTATTTTACAGTTTCCTTCTTTGTTTCCTCCCTCCCACCTTCCTGCCTTTCTCCCTTTCTTTTGTTCTTTCTCTGTCTCTCTCTTTCATACTAACAATTAAACCCAAGGCGGTTACACTAAGTGATAGAGCC